CATTTCTGGGGGGGGGGGGTGTTCACTACTATGCCTATCATTTCATGGAAGCACTTGGAGAATAATAGTTTCTCCTTCTCTGGTGGGCAAATACAGAGGCTCTGACTCATTCATTTAATGTAGCAGGTATAGGTGGAGCTCAGAGCAGAGCTGGTATTGAAGTATCCAAGCCCCCAATACCTCAGCCGGGATATCTTCATGGGATGGTAGTAGCTGCTTCTCTCCCTCTGGAACCACCTGCCCTCGATGTCCCCTTCTTACCCCTATTCTTCTGTGACTTCTGTGGCTGTTACATAACAGATCTGCACTGTGAGGGCCCTGGAGCTGATCATTCCTGGTCCTGTTAGCAAACACTGGTTGGGAGAGGAGTGGGGAAGAGAAAGTGGGCTTCGCCAACCTCAAAATTGGTGGCAGGAAAGGCAAGGGCTGGGAGATGTAAGGATTTCTCTCCCTGCCACACCCCTTCCCCCCTCCATTCCTCAATCTTTTTGTTCAGAAAGGCCTGTAATTTCTCTGAGAAGTTGCAGGAGCTTGCCATTACTGTGAAAACATAGGAGGAGTTTAAGTTGGTGGCATGATATAATTCCACCATGGAGAAGAGAGGGAGTAGATGATAATGAAATACGCTTCCGCAGAGACTATCCAGACTGCAAGTGATGGCTACAAAAAGGAAACCCTGAGCTGCAAATGCAAACCACTGTCCGTCCTCATCCTCGAGGGAGTGATTTTGCTTTGTCCTCCAGGAAGCAATTTGCTGGCACATCCCTCAGTGCTGACATGTTCCTTCAGCATTGCCCAGAGCACCCTCGTTTTGGAAAAGGAATGCGTGGACTTGCCAAAAAGAAACCAAACAAAGCTCCTTTCAACTCCGTAATTTATAAAACGCTGGTAATAACAATTAATTTTTGTAAGGATAAATCAAATGTACATTCTGAAATCATTTTCTCTGTAAATGGTTGGATTTCATTTCACCCTTAAAGGGATGCTTAAAAGGAGGAGTTAATAATAATAAAAGATTTACTAAGTATGGAGGAAAACTGGCACATGTCTGCGGGAGTTTTTATTTCCAAGCACTGGGTAAAGTAGTGGAGAAGTTGTTGCCTCTGGCTTTGGCATACCTTTGACCTTCCCCACATGGAAAGCCTTGGGTCTATCATCAAAATATCTGAATGCAGAAGTAGAATATTCTTCTAGTGTCCTGCAGGAGACTGATCCTGCCAGCTCAGCCATAAGAGATCGCTCATAGGCCTTTCTGCCAAGTTTGATGTAAAGGCCATGCTGAAACCAGCCAGGTGTGCGTGTACACAAGCTGCTCATCACCACATGACTGTCTTCAGTCAGTCATGAGCCAGGATTGCTTCCAACTATGCGGTACTCTGTATTGCAGTGTCCTTTTAAATGGGTACTTTCCCAGGATTGCTTGGGACTTGTAAACATCAACAGGTGCAGTGAGACAAGGCCTCTTAATCCGCCCTTGCAGCTCTTTACATAAACTGCTGTGGAGTACATCTGACATGCTTTCTACGTGTCAGAAGCACAAAGCTGTTGAGCTCCTGTGAACCCCAGCATGTTTTATACCTAAAAGAGTAGCTGCTGTAGCTTACCTGGCTGTGGGATGGCTCTACCTGTGCCAGGAGAATAGGTGAACAGGCCTATTCCAGCCAGTGATGTATTCCAGCCAGTTAAAAAAAGTAGTGCACTCATACCACCTTCTGCCTCCTCCTCTCCTGCCTTAGTGTCCTGTTCTGTTAGTGGAGAAACCTATTAAAGGTATGAGACCTGCCTTGTTGCACTGGAGGGTGGAACATTTGGATTCAGAAGAGGTGCTCCCACCACCAGCATCCATTGTGTGAAAAAATCCAGCCTGCGCAAATAGGGGCATTGGTGGCGCTTTATCAACTAGTCTATCCCCTCCATAAATGACTGATGCTCAGGTTTCAGTCTGGCCCCAGGATGAGGGAAACTGGCTATCTCATGAATTAGTGACTAGGACATAGCGCGTGGTGTCAGCAAACCCCTAGCAAACCAATCTGTTCTGAATGACTTGGGCAACATGCACAACCTTAGGATGAATTGTGGCAAATGCACTTTAGTTCAAAAGAACAAACTGCAGTACAGGATGTATTGCAAGCTTCCAAGATAGTGGTACTGCAAATGACCTTACAGATGTAGTTTGTACAGTCTGTGGATGCAGTAAAAGAATGGGTAGCATTTTCTGCAGGAGGCCAGTTGTAGTATCTGTCACTTGTGGCTTGGAAACTATGATCCAAGCA